AATATGTAAGAGGAATAATGTTTTGCTACTTTAGTCTGGAAACGTAGACACAATGAAACAACGAACTTATTGTATAATTCCCATCTGACCTAGTTTAGAAACGTAAACTCTATAAGAGAACAAACTTATTGCAGAATTCGCCTCTTGCCTCGTCTAAATACCTAGACACCATGTAACGGTAAGCTCATTACATGATTCTCCTCTAAGGTGTCCTAAGGATTGCAAATGTGAATCAATGAGATCATGCGCAATTCCCTTATAACGAGGCTTAAAAACGTATAATTGTTAAATCGTGAGCTCACCTCAGAGTTATTTTGTAATATAGTACAACAAACCATACTATAATATATTGATTTTCATAAAGGACTCCTGTTTAACGAGCTTTAAAACGTAAACTCTGTGAAACAGATAACTCAATAAAATATTCCTTTTTACCGTAGTAACTGTTAAAACTAACAAAGTTTAAAAGAAGAAAAATAACAAAATTTTCAAGGAGCCATTGCTTTTGGCGTTACAAAATATATTTGCTTTTAATAACTACTAGCTTTTATTTCAGTGGATGGAGTTACCCTACTGAACCTTTTGTTCTGTGGAATTAATACTGTTTTGACGTTTTCTATATTTGGCAGAGTGGGGGTTGGTTCTTTTGTATTACTTGGTAAAAATAATGCAAAATCCTGTCCACTCATCGATGAAGAATCAATTTATTTCATCAATTACGTCCCATACAGGCTACAGGCTACTTTCACTGGTTGGCCTAACTTCACGAACAACGTTTCAAAATAAATTTTAAAACTGATGTAGGCCTAACTCACAAATAAAGCTCTAGTCATTTACTTTTTCACTAATCTGTCAATAACAAACACACTAATAACTAACAAACATGATGATTGAATCACTCACAAATAGACTAACTGGATCACAGACTAACTCACACTTAACTAAAATTCTTTAATTGTCTTTTAATTAATTAACTGTTTCTTACTTGCGTTTTTATATTGTGCACTACTTCACGAATATTCGAAATGTCCAAGAGACCTAAACTTTCATGAAACTTCAAAATTTCACGAAATTATTAGATCATGCAAAAACTCTTTCTAGTGAACTAAACATTAAAATAGTAAAAATACAGTCTACAACAATACTATGGCGATATTAATTGACAGGTATACTAATGACCTATTTATTGTTGTTTTCTTTTAATTAACACTAATAATGTATAACGTATAATGAAGTATATTTTTAACTAAAACCCAAAAGCGCATGGTGCCCGATCCTCATTAGATTTTCTCACATATACCTGGAGAACTTTGACGATTTTACATTCAGTGAGCGAGTTTATTTTTCCTCTGAGTATATAATGATATACAGTATTGATAACATGAATGTTAATCCTGGCTGATGAGAATTTTAGCTAAAAAGTTGCAGTTTCGCTTAATGCTGCCAGTGATTATTTTGCGACTCCTGAAAAAAAAGTTTAGTTTGGCTTCTCCTAGATAGCAGCACATTACGGAACGACAGCTACAAGATGTAGCTTAGGAGAGTAACCTGATATTACGAAAGTAATTTACACAGAAACTGGAGGCAATTTGTTATAAACTACTAGTGTGTAACAATCTGTAATGTTGGTACGTATTTATAGCAATATACATAAATAAATAAGTGTATGGATGTGGTTTTACACTATAAAATCATTCATGAGTGTTGTATAACAAAAATGGATCATTTATACAAAGAACACGACTATTAGCACGTGCACTTGAAAACAAAGGATTTGACCCGAGATCTTAAAATTATGTGAGATGAAGTAATTACGATTACTGAACTGGTAGATATTATTTAAAGATACCTGTTATTTTCATTAATGGTGGTGAGAAAATGTTTTAATTTTAACATCGAAATATTTGATAGGTAGCGAATTTTTATGGAAGATACGAGGGTAACAAAGAAACTCGTTAAATCTGAAAGAAAACAGGTTTACTCGTCGGTTTTTGTAAGTGCAAAAAATATGCATGAGTAGATGAACTTATCAGTAGTAAATGAAATTTACAGATGCAATTATATGGTGCAACAAAGAAAATCTTGGTGTACTCAGTGTTTTATTTGGTTGAGACTGAATATTTTAGTTAGGCAGATGGAAATATTAATATGCACACACTTTTACTGAATATTTACTTAAAATTGTTTCAGTAAAAGATTCGGTTGTAATGCAGATTGTACATGTACTAGGAGGAGGCAGAAAGTAATACCTGCCTGGTGAAAGCTTTTCAATCCGTGCCAAAACTAGTACTAAACTTCTAACTGGAAGAAAGACCCAACACGTTGATATAGAAGAGCCAATCAGCACATGAATCATCAGCACCATTACCACATGGGAGTAAATGGATTGGCAATCCTTAATGGCCATTTTATGCAGATAGCAGTCATTAAATTGTGTAGTTGAGATTCAACATCCCAGTTCAGATTAACTCGTGTAAGATCAGTTGTCAGATAGCATCACGAGTCTTCCATTATGAATTTGGATACACAAAAAGGAGTTATCTCTGTATTTGACTGATTTCTAAGAGTTGAAAATCAATAACAATCTGTACTTCCATCATAAGATCACATTTTCCCCCAGAATACGACATTTTTTCACAAAATTATTCAGAAACAATAACCAAAAGTGAAGTACTGGCCAAGATAACAAAAAGTTAAATCTGAAGACAAAAAAAGTGTATTTTGAAGTTGGGCAAGTTGAAACAGATATGTTAAATATACACACACAAAAAACGTCAAATATGCACAAACTAACAACATCTCTTTTTAAAACTGCATTCAAACGTTACATTAAATATTTTGGTGTAACGCATATAGTGATGATTTGCCTTGTAATGATATACATCCCAAGGAAGTTTCATTAAATATTGGTGTAATGCATATAGTGATGACGTACCTTGTAATGATACACATCCGAAGGAGGTTTCACAGAACAAAGCATGATTTAGTAGTTTATCTACTTTATAAGTTCACATGTTATACAATACATCATCAAAATAAAAGAATAAAAGTCTACTTTTGACAAACAGTTTACATTTAAAAACACACCTTTCTCCGTACACAGAAATACACAAAGTGACAAAAAACATGCTTATATTCTTCACCTTTTCTGTGAGTCTATCATCTAATGTTTACACACTCTTAGATTGTATCAAAAATTCATAAGGAAATTTTATCAGTAATGCATAAGAATTTCCTATCAGCTAGCTAACCAACCATGGAACATATTGCTGTGTACTAAAGGCAATTACACAATGATTTCATTGAACCAGCATTTTGGGCTCTTTTAAAGTGTGACCTACACATATACCTTGATTTATCACAAATGTCAATATATTTTTGTCTAATTACCAGTACAACAAACTGAGTACATCCATAAAGTGATAACTTCTCAAACCACAAGACAAAAGCATTGATCTCCTGACCCAAAAATTGAGACAAGTGTTTGGTGACACAAGTATTTCAATTTGCTGGATTTTCTAAAAATTTAATAGGATTTAAAACAATTTTTTTATATATATATTTGTATCATAAATCTTTTACTTTCAAATAATTGGAATTCTCTATTTCAATGCCACTTCAACCAGATTATTGGAAGGAAATATGGAGTTAGTTTTGCAAAATAAGTTTTAGGGATCTGAAAAGAACCATGTAATAAGTTATTGAAGACACACATGAAGTTTTTAGAAAATGTATCATAGTTATGATTATCTAAATTATTAATGGAAAGTAAATTATCTTTAAAAAAATACTGGCTAGCACTAGCTTAGCCAATGTAAAAATTATATAAATACTTGCATTACATATGTGAACTCTAGGACAAACCTTTATCACTCGTGAAAACAATTACAACTTTTTTACTTATTCAAAAAATTCCTGTAAATATCACTTACAGTTTTATTGATCAATCCATTTATGTTGGTTAAATAGGCCCAAAATGCTAAACAGTGTAATTTTTTCAACCATGTAATCCACAATGACAAAACAAAAATTATAGTAGCCTAATTTGTCTAAAACAGTAACAGCATACAGAAACTAATCAAAGCATTCGGAGCTTTTTTTCATTTGTGAGATCTTAACCATTAGCCTATAAAATAAAGTTACACTACATTTGAAAATGTTTGTTTGTTGTTAAGAACAAAGCCACACAAAAGGTTATCTGTGCTGTGCCTACTGCAGGGGTCAAACCCCTAATTTCAGTTTTCAAAGAGCTACCAGGGTGCTATTCTTGAATAAGTCATATTCCTCAACTTTAAGCTATTTGATATTGATGTCTACAATTAAAGTAATCACTTATGGTAAAATATAAACATTTCCCAACACACAAATCCTGGATTGTAAATGTGAAACATAAAACAGGAAAATATTTCAATAACCTTTTTTCCTTTTCAAAAATAATTTGTTTATTCTCTTTTCAAAAACTGTTAGGAAATAAATTATATAACATTCCTCCGAAGTTACACATTTAACACATTCAAGCAATAGTAGTATCAATTAAGAAAAACGTGATGTAAAAGTTAAAACTTCCAAAACCATACGCAGTTTACAGATTGATTACAGCAATTTTGAACTTAAAGAGGCTTAAGCCAATGAAACAAAAATAAACTCAGAGTTGATTAATTACAATCTCAACTTATCAGGTGATACAGGCAGGCTTGTACTTTTTTTTTTCAAGCAAAGAATCAAGTAGAAAAAATAATAATAATAATAATCAACTTGCATACTGCATATTTTCCTCAAAATGTTTTAATTTTCATAATCACATAAATGTACCCTACTGTTTGCAACAGGACTGAGTAGAACTACTCTGATTGTCACTAGTTATGTAAGAATTCTAAAAACAACTGCTAATCTTAATTTACATAGTTCTTTTGGCTAAAATATGTGGATGATCATTGGTTGGTTTGGATTTCGTGCAAAGCTACTCAAGGACTATCTGCATTAGCCATTCCTATCTGTTATCTGCTGTGTCCACTGAGGGAAATCAAATCCCTGATTGTAGTGTTGCAAATCTGAAGACATACCGCTGTCCCACTGGGGTACAATTTTACAGTGATAGACTAGAGAGAAAGCAGCTAGTCAACACCAGCCACTGCCAACTCTTGGGCTACTCTTTTACCAATGAATAGTGGGATTGACCATCACATTATAATGCCCCATTTAAAAGGGCGAGCACGTTCAGTGTGAATGATGAAGTTCACAAAAAGTCAGTACATTTGTTCTTAAGAAAGATTAAAAGTCTACATTTATTTTTTACACCTGCTAATAGGCATGTTTCCAATTTACATTCAAAAGTAACCTTTAATTGTTGTAGTTAAAATTATTTGAGAGTTTACTTAGTTCTCTACATACCCAAGCTACAATTTTCCAAGTAGTTTTTATTGAAGGAAAACATGCACCTACAATATTTAGTAGCTTTTATCTATGTATTCCTCAACTAAACAGATCTTCACCCTTTTAATAGCAGTAATTCTTTATGCAACCAAAACAAGATAAAAATAATTTTATTAATATAAAAGGAATTTTGATCTATATGAAATTATCTATAAACAAACTGCTAGATATAATGGCCATTCTGTACTTGTATAGAATTATATGAACTGCAGAATATCCCCAAAACAGCACATTGCAAATCTCAAGTTAGACAAGGTAGAAAAACAGCCTACTATTGTACATTTAAACATGGTTTTGGAACTATGCTGAAGTACCAGATATTTTATAATTCACTCTTGATCAGTAAGTTTTATAAATAAAATCTGTAAAACTCTCAAGACCACATTACAAGTACACAGTAAAACAACAAACAACTGACAAACAAGAACAGATACTACATGGTATCCATGTACTACACAACATCGGTATCAATAACAAGCACTGAAGGACTTGCATCTATGATGAAGTTGGAAGTTCAATCAGTAACACAACAATTTTATACAATCTCTCCAATTTTGATAGATATCAACTGTCAATTGTATTGATTCTGATAGATTTTGAGATGAATAATCCTATGAAATTTCACCAATTCTGACAGATATGAAAACTGACAGTTCCATGGAAATATCACCAATCTTCACAACTATTAAGTAATCATAACAAATTACATTGTTATTTTTACATGAATAGTCTACCTAACTGTAACCCAAGAATATTTGCTAGTTTTAACATGACCTCCCCCTTGCTGATATATGACTTGGTCTATTAATTAGTAAAGGCACCAGTTGTGTATCGTACCAAAGTAAAAATGATTATTGACTGAAGATGACTCCAAACATTATTTCTAGTGAATGCATTAAAAGGAGAAAGGAAATGGTAAGTTAATTTTATTGCGTGTTCTTTCAGTTAATATTACCAATTTGAAAAATGGTACCTGCAGCATTCAAATCAAAATTTTATTAATGGCAGTAGAACCAAGTTAATAAGTTCCTAACCTAAAGACTTACAAATTTCCAAAATTACACACAAAAATGAGCATGTCTCTGAAGACTCATATTGTAACTTTACTGCAGTTTGATAAAAGTTTAGAAAAAATTACCTTCAGACTCCAGATGAACATAAAAGAACATTTTTATTTCAACCAACGTTTCACTTTTGTGGCTTCATCAGCGTTAATAATAAAAGCAAAATGTTGGTTGAAATAAAAATATATTCTTTTATATTTATCTAGAATGTAAAGGTAGTTTTTTTCTAAACTTTTATCAAAATGTGTAAATCTCTCCAGTATGCACTACAAACTTTGAAAGAACAAAAAATTTACTGCAGTTGTTTATACTTTGAAACTGTGAAATATAGAATGTGGCTTTTTTTTAATAGACTCGGGTGGAGTTCATTATAATATGAAACAAAACTAACAAAGACTTCAGAGTTTTAACAAAAGCTATATTTCATTAAACTCAATATTCCACAGAAATATTTTTTTATTAATAAATATAAATTCTATAAAATTGAGAGTAACTTTCTTATTTCAATAATGATAACTATGAGCAGGGGCTAAATATATTAAATCTCACATTTAGATAGAACTCTACCTGTTATCCTAACTTAAATTGTTTATTAACTGTATTTTAGGTTTCTAGATACAGCATGTAATACTTTTAGTTTTAGACACAATGAATGAATACCAGTATAAATCACATTCCTGAATGAACCAACAGAAGGGAATGGTTTGTATAATAGCATATTTGTACTTGAAGAAAGAAGTTATAGAACAATGTAATTGGTACTAGTTGTTCTATGGTATCTCCAATTTTTTTTCAGGGATACTTTTGTTACCCTATACAGAGATAAAATGTAAAATTTACCATCATGTTAAAATCATAAATAACAACGATCACACAAGTAATTCATTAAAACAGTTAATGCAATGTCCATATTCCTGCTGAATATTATAAAACGATACATAAAGACAATGTAATTAAACTTAGAACACAACAACCACCTGCCTCTTTATAAAAAAAAATTGCTACCCAAGAAACCAAATTCTGGCTTTATAACATACACTTAATAATTAATGCAAGTATTTGATTTTATCTTTACATCAATAAATTTTATGTGTGTGTGTGTGTGTGTGTGTTTATATATATATAGATATAGTTGTTTTTACCAATTGAGTTCTCCGGTACTTCATCGGTATACATGATTCTTCTCATAATCCAAGTTCTTCTTATGAAAAAATTGATTTAAATGATTAATATAAAGAAAATTGTATTAAAAAATAATGAGGCTTAATCCTTAACTTATTCACACTTTGAATTTCTGTTTGTAAAAAAAACAACAAAAACTGGAAAATATTAATATGTTCAGAACCTTGTTTTAAAAAAGAAGGAAATTAACGTCCTTATTAGGTGAAAAATAAGCTGAACACACAGGATGAGAGCCCAAAACTGAAGATGGTTCTTCAAAATATGAACACAGTGTTGGTCAGCCAGTCAGTTCGTAAAGGTTAATTGGTGATAGATGCTAGACAGCTGTATTTGAACTTGAATTACACGATGAGGACTGGCCTGGAAAGGAATTATCAGCATAAATCATCAAAGAATCAACCCACAAGACTTACTAATATGAAAACCAAAAGTCACAAAGCAGGATAAGCAAGTATATGCAAAACAACTAAAATATACAAGAAAATGAATTCAAGCTTTATGGGTTAAGTTTAGTTTAAAACTACCATTTGTGTATCTTAGTTAGGAGGAAAACTAAATCTGCAAGTTTTAGAGAATAAGCAATTATCCATGAAGGATTCAGACAACAAATGACTGGTTTATGTTTACAATGCAAATTAAAATTAACAGGACTCTCCTTACAGAATTTCAAGAAAGTTGCAAAAAACTTTAAGAATAATTTGTGCACATCTAAAAAGCTAAATATTCATACTAGTAATATCCTTACTTGATTACAGTATATATAAAACATTAAAAACTGACATAAGTTCTACACGTTCATAAATATTCTTTGAATTAGGCTTGAATATTCATAGAAAATAAAACAAACAAAAAAATTTTCATTTAATTAATTTATACTTGCTACACATCCGTAATAAGTTCACCATCTATCAATCTCTTCCTAAGTACTAAGTGCATGCTTGATTCCTCAAACAGTAATCAAATCTTTGTATTCAATCTCATCCTCCAGCAGCGAGAAAAGCATTTATATCTAGTCCTTTTCTTTAGTATTAAGTTGTGGACACAACTTTGTAACCTCTTCTTGCAGCAGTGACTATATTTACATCCAGTATTTTCCTCCATCAATGAAGAAGTTTTATTACTCAATGATTTTCTCTAGCAGAGAGCACCTACTTGTAACCAGATTTTTTCTCCAAAAGTAAACACATTTACAGCCTGTCCATTCTTAAAGAACTTATGTAATCTTTGTATGTAGATTCTCATTTCAATACTGATGGCATTTTATGTAGTCTTTTTTTGCCAAAAATATTCACATTTCTATATACTGTATCTTTCTTCAGCAGTGATTACATTTTTGTAGTTTCTTTCTCTATCAGAGAATTAAGTACAGTAAATATAGATTAACATAATTCTAATAAATAAGTCTAGAATAAATAGTTCAGGTTGAATTTAGCAAATGTTCAAAATCTATCTGTTTGCTGAAAACTGAGGTACCATAAACCACTTACTGCATGAAGATTTACCTCTGTGCTTTCTTTTAACCCGGTACTGTTCTGTAGGACCCCATATTCGTACAGTTCCATCATCAGAGGCACTGGCTAGCATACTTGGGTAGGCAGGGTTCCAGGAGACACAGTTAACAGTTCGAGTATGTCCTGTCAGTACAGCGATTGGCTTCTCTCTCTTGATGTGCCAGATGTAGACTTTGTTGTCTGAAAAATTACAAGACTTTTAATGGAAATTTTGTAGAATGTATCTTTTAAAGTATAAGCTACTTTTCTTTTAAGCATTTCTTGCTTCTTAAGTATCCTGAAGCAGATAAAACGCAAAGCAAAATTATACATATAAAAGCTTGTTACGATAAACTTCACAAGAGTGCTATTACAATAGTTTTAATGATAACAAATTTCGATATTAATATTTGGCATTGAAAAAAAAACAAGGATTTTTTTTCTTTCATCTAATAAAAACTGTTATTTATGAAGTAAAATAATGTGCTTTTTTAAGTCAATTTGAAAATTTTCTTTGTTTTTGCAAAATATATTACTGTGTACAATATCAATGAGCTCCCACTGGGTACTTAAACACATTTTTCTTAACTATTTATGCACCATACTATACTGCTCATGGGTCCATGACTTTGTTGGTTCGGGGTCTCTAATAATGAGTGACACAAAACAATTTACAAAAAAATCTGTTAATATTGCATTTAATCCAACTAACTATTGTTGGAGTTAACTATGTATGTTTTGTACAGAAAAGTGTTTTCACTTTTCGTTTTTGTCAGCTCTTTACATCTGTTAATACTGCACTTAATCCAACTAATTATTGTTGGAGTTACCTATGTATATTTTGTACAGAAAAGTGTTTTCACTTTTTGTTTTTGTCAGCTCTTTACATCTGTTAATACAATCTGTTAATATTGCATTCAATCTAACTAATTATTGTTGGAGTTACCTATGTATATTTTGTACAGAAAAGTGTTTCCACTTTTTGTTTTTGTCAGCTCTTTACATCAACTGTTATTACAAACAAAAACATAAAATTACTCAACATGATGCAAAATGCAGATCTTACCAGTATTGAAGTATATAAACAAAATAATGATTTAAAGCCTATTCTCACCCATAATATTTTTATAACTTCAAATGAGGGGAACCTTGGCTACTAACTAATTTCAAATTTCCAACATGGCTCTCTTAATTAATACATTTTGAGTTGAGCAAGAATTACTAGTTTATTTAATAAAGACCCACAATGCACAATCAAGAAATATTAGTAAGTAAAAAAAAATATTCATAAATGTTCTTATAAACCTATTCTATCACAAGAATATTTGATCTGGCAATAATAATTTTTAAACAGTATTCCCAATTCCTGTGATACAATGACCTACAAGTATACTTATGGATAATTTATAAACTACAGAAACAGCAAAACTCTAGGTACCCAGCAGGAAAAGATTTCACATTCTAATATAAACGTATGGGATCAACTCTCAAATACCTTAGCCCTTTTTGTGTAGAAGAACCTATCGTAAATTCCTGATGTTTGTTCTGTAGTCGCTTACCTTCACTTCCACTAGCCACAAAAACTTGATTAGTTCCTCCAAAGCAAGAGTGGATTAAATAGTAGCCTTGAGTAATTCCTTGAAACTTTCTAATTAGGACTTTATCTTCTAGGTCCCAGAGGTGGACACCCTAGGGCAACAAATATAAGAACAGAACTGAATTAAACAGGCTTAGTCTTACTTATTTATTTCTTAAAACTTTTTAATTACAAGCTTTTCTTTAAGTTCCCCCAATATGACAACTTTTATTAAAATAAATGTACCTCAAATGTACACAAAATTACAACATACAGTTTTATAATTCAACACTTCTATAATTAGACAACAGTAAGTTAATAGCAGAGAGAATACCCCATGTTTGGCAATCCCAAACCTACATCTTTCCTAGAAAGAAAAAACATTTTAAATATGAAACTTCAAATACATTTTACTTAATTTTAAAAACCTTAAACATAAACACTGAACAATCTTAAATCTCTTATGTTTCAAGTAAACTAACATTGAAAATAGCAGCAAAAAAAAATAATTAAATACCTCAATGTACTATATCAAAATTTCACAATTTAAACGTTCAAGTTTCAACAGTAAAACAATATTGTTATTAGAGTATAATCCATTCTCTCATTGCTGTATCATGACAAGTAATACATTATACACACAGTTAAACTGTACTTATTCATCAATCAGAAAATAAAACCTATGAATGTATAATTCATTTAATGTATTCTTTATCTATCAGTGATTCTGATTGGGATGGTATAACTATCTCAAGAATATGAAAACAAATATTTTAAAGACTTACCTGACAGTGAAAAGTAATTTAAAATATCATAAATGCTTATCATAACTTAAACTTCAATCTCTTTGATTAACCTCTAGTTTTGTTATCTTCTTCTAATCTAAAAAATAATTTTATGTTGATTTTATGTCAAGATTTACAAAAGATTACCACCTGAGTAGCTATATTCAGCAAGGCTAGTCTTCCTGTATCGTCACATGTGAAAGACATTATTTCATGGTCCTCTTGAATTCTACATAAAACCAAAGAATATGTTAAATTCTTGGTATTGTAATCTTATAAAATAGACCATTGAGTATATTATCATTCTTACTTTTTTGCTAAACAAAGGGTAACTGAGTATAATCATATTCTTATTTACTACGCTGTGTACAATCTCATCATTACTTTAATACTTACTAAACAAAGGGTAACTGAGTATAATCATATTCTTATTTACTACGCCGTGTACAATCTCATCATTACTTTAATACTTACTAAACAAAGGGTAACTGAGTATAATCATATTCTTATTTACTACGCCGTGTTAACTCAGTACAATCTCATCATTACTTTAATACTTACTAAACAAAGTTAACTGAGAAAATTTTTGTCTTTATCTAAATTAGTTTGAAATCATTCTTACTTTCTAAACAAAATTAACTGAATACACTCATACATATTTACTAAACAAAGTTAAAGTTAAACCTCATCTTTAACTACTGAGAAAGCCACTAGAGGACATTCTGAGCTTTTGATTGGTTATTGACACGTCATAAAGTAGGTGTATGTGAGCAAGTGTTTTCCAAAAAAAGAAAGAAATGGGAGGGGCCACTGTGCTTGAGTCAGTAAATGTAGCAATATCTCATCAAATAGAACAGATAGAAGGTTTTTATTTTATATTCTAGCTTATCAATATTGGCAATTTGAGTTCCTAATTCATAAGAAACTATAGACTTTGTATTTGAACATCACAAACATTGAATTTACACCAATGCTGCATTTAACATACCATGTGACCCACAAAAATCAATATTTAGGTATGTTTTTTAATATTTACTTTTAAATTAACTAATGCATAATACTAAAACTTTAATTATAATCTACTATATGATACCAAACTTATTGACATAAATTCATAAAATAATAGTTGAATAAAATTTTAAATTTGAGTCAACAAATGCGATGACATAGTCTTTGACCCGTGTTGATAGGGTTAGAGTAAAACCTCATCTTTAACTTTATCTACCAAACAAAGTTAGAACAACCCCATTTTTACCTAATACACAATTAAATTAATACAGTCCCACCCAATGTTCCCTGTAAGCTGAATGGCTGAACAATAACTAATCAAATGTGCACACTTTATTATTTCAGGCCCACACATCCTCAATAATGGTAAGGACTCTCAACACATTGAAGGCTTTAATGACCCTGGCAGTTGATAGGCCTAAAGCCTAAATAACCAACTGGTGGCATTGCAAGGTGGCCTAATGATTTAATAGAGTTGATGGTCTAAAAATATCCCCCCCCCCAAAAAAAAAATCTGCACATTGCCTTGTTACTGGTACACACAAAAACATTTATTCACACAAAAATTTAACAAATTTGAGGTAACATTGGTCTCATCTTTACTTATTAAACAAAGTAAAATTACTACAATCTCATCTTTGCTTGATAAACATTTAAATTATGACAACCTCATCATACCTAATTAACAAAGTTACATTAGTACAATCCAATCTTTACCTACTAAACAAATTTAAATTACTACAATCTCACCATTACCTAACTAACAAAGTTATAATCATACAATCCCTTTTTTACTTATTAAAGAAACTTAAATTACCACAATCCTATCTTTACCTACTAGACAAAGTTTAGAGCACTGGTTTTAAAATAATAATGAGTGAAAAATCTCAGACTCAAGATTAAGTGATTGAGACATTATATTTCGTTAAAACATGTTGTGCAACAGACTCAGTAACATTACTCCTCTTAATCTTAAGAGTATGATTCTAAAATAAATTGAGAACAGACTGAAAAAAGAGAGACAAACAAAACAAAAACTCGTAATAATAAAAATTCTTTAAATGAATGTGCTTTAAAAGATATTACACAATGGAGAAAAAATTAGCCTTGAAGAGAGTAGCATTAATGCATTACAACGTAACTAATTAGACCTACATATTAAAATCTGTGAGTTCTTCAAAGTTGTAGCCCCTAATTCTATAATGTGTGTCTGCAGCTAGAACTGTCTTTCCATCATTACGGCACCATAAGCATTGGACTCTGACACCTTCCCAAGAGTCCAAAACAGTTCCATCTAAGTCCTGACAAAAATATGTATGTTATTTCGATTATACAGACTAAAAATGACGTATATATCAATAAAATAAAAGCTATGATCTTATAATACTAAAAAAATTGGACTGAAAGAGCAAACATTATCACTGCACAGACAGCTACACATCTACTATGATAGAACCACTAGATTTAATGAAATATCTAACTATCATTCACATTTAAAGGAATAACTTGAACAACTGTGATAGAAAAGATCATGTTTCATATGATCTAAAATTATCAAGATTTGTAAGTTTTATTTCCAAGTAAATCGTGTGTATTAACTAACATTTGAATAAAACATACACATATTAACATAAAAATTTTAAAACCTAAACCTATACAAAAACTACAATGATTTAGCAAAGTATGATAAGAAGACAAAAACCATAAGATTGGAGTGAGTGTTATTCGTTCACGATCAGTCAGCATTGTTTTTAATTGCCCTACTACTCAGAAACTGATATTTTCAACATTTTTTTCACTAAAACTAACAATAACAACAAAAAAAACACCTTACACATTGAAAAAACTGGCCCCTTGATCCACCAGTAACAAATTTTTTGCCATCCTTATGCCAAGCACATGACGTGAGAGAGTCCTCTGGAGAATTGTTCATCTTGACTCGCAAGTTGCCAGTCTGAAATAACAATCAAGTCAAAATAATAAAACTTCACTACCTTGTACAAATTAAATATATCTTAAAAGTGAACTAGCACTTAAGAGTTTAGTAAGTTTAACATATATATATACATACATATAAAGCGGAAGTTATACAGAATGGTCCAGAACTATTGTGATAAAAAAAATTCATTAAACACAATACCTTATAACACTAAAGAAAATAAATTCATTAGATACAATACTTTATAGCACTAAAAAAACAAATACGTCAAACACAATACTTTATAACACTAAAAAACAAATTTATTAAACACAATACTTTATAACACTAAAAAACAAATTCATTAAACACAATACTTTATGGCATGAAAAAACAATTTAAAAAAATTTGTCACTGTGAATAAACACTATCTGAAAGACAATAATTGCCACTAAATATTACTTGAAAGATAACACTAGACATTGAATAAAAACTACAAGAAAGACAATACTAGGCACTGAATATCTATTTCCTAAAAAAAATCTAGACACTGTGAATAAATACTGAATAAAAACAATACTATACATTGTGAATAAATAATGCAACACTTTACAACATTACAGTGTAAATGTGGTATTCTTTCAGAATAGTTTTGATAAAACTGTAGAAGTGTTTATATAAAGCTAGAACTCTCCAAATTTTTACATATTACATGGCTATAATAAAGTTTAACAAATTTAATTTAGTGTAGAAATACAGCAAAAAAAAAGGACTTTAAAGATCCACACACCTCAACATTCCACACCCACAAGTCTGAGCAATCATCTCGACCACAAGCTACTAGATAGTTGTCATCAGGACTCCAGGAAAGGTAGGAGAGCCCATAAGAGTGCCCTTCCAAGGTTTTTCTATGTCTCAGTTCCAAAGTAACCTGAAGTCAACATCATACATTTTCAGTGTATATTCTTTTTCCAGTTTATATTTTTATCAAATTTGCCAAACATATATGAGTATTATTATATCTTTATCTTCCTCAATCTGTATGAAATAAAAACTAATTTTTTGATAAAAATTTCACAATAGTACGAAGTATTTCAACCACTTGAGAAACTCGTTAATTTGTACCTTAGTATAACATTTTCTATAAGTATACAACCATTTGGGAATGTACCATTTAATTCTAAAAAATAATCAAATAAATAAAGGGTGTACCAAAATTATTTTTCCTAAAATAAAACACCAAAAAGAGTAGCTATAAAAACAAAAGCTACAAAACTTTGTATAGTTGTAACTAATATATCAAGTTTTCCATCACCATGATAAAACGTCGGTTGTATCACCAGTAACAATAAAAGATCCACCCAAGAAAACGAAAATTGTTTGGCTCTTTAAGCCTATCCCAAGTCTGAAATAGAATGCTGCATGTTCTGTCACTACAACCTTTCCTGTACTTGCAACAGTGGAGATGTGGAAGTAATAGTGTGTGTGAGAGTTAACTTGACATCAGCAGCTACATCTATGTGAAGTTTCAGCACTTTTTATGTTCCCTCTTTTTGTTTTATGGAAGTTTATTTTTGGATAGTTTTGGTACACCGAGTATATTATACTCTAAAATCATAAATATCTGCTTGCATTTCTAAAAACCCAATTTTATTTTAACTTTGAATACGTTAAATATATAAACATAAACGAAACCACAATAATCAGCAATGACACACAGACACTTTAGCTTATGATTGGCAATGTTTTATATAAGTAGTCTTTACTTATCCAGCTATTTACTAAAAATATATAGTCATAGTGATAGATATAAGAGAAATCTTAGTTCTCTCACAGGATCAATATCCCATATGATAACAGTACTATCTTTGGAGCCTGTAGCTAGTTTCTGGCCATTGTTGGAAAACCTACAGAACCAGACTTCATCACAATGATCATTGAGAATTTGGACTGTGTCACACGGAAACTGCTCTCTGAAAACACAAGGTGATAAGTTATGTAAATAAATTAATTATGAAGAATATAATTCATAATCACAAAAAAATATTTATTATAAACACTAACTTATACAGATCTATAAAATAAATCTTCAATTTTCTTCATAAATCATCAAACACTAGGGGCATATCCAGAGATGGGGCTTGGATCCCAAAATTCTGAAATATCCATTTTTTCCAATTTCCAAACTTTCACAGGTAGAAAAACTATATATCATCTAAAACATAGGATTATACTTGTTTGTGCAATCTTTTCTTAAATCTATGTTTTTCTATGCCACAATTGATTAATGTTGACTTTTAATATTACAAGTGTTCGAGCAATAGAGTACATTTTCAGCTTACTTAGTGCAAACGTGGTCAGTGAGCAGTGATTCATTTTCCAAGCTGTCATTTGCTCTTGTGTTGTGATAGAGACAGTGATCTCTTTGCAGCTCAAGAGCCTGGGAGAGTAGTGTTTGCAATCTCCTTGGAGGTAGCATCACAGATGGTGGAAGAAAAGCTATCCAAAAAAAATATTTCACATATTTCTCATACAACTTCCATTTCTTTTAATTAAGAAAACCAAACATTTTTTTAAAACCAAGAACCTATTTAATCATATCTTTGATTGTATTCTCCATTAATTTGAGGATTAAAAGTTGACATACACTTGACTTAGAATACAGTTCACTTCACCAGATAGAAATGAGCCAAGTTGTCTTGTTAATCTGAAAAAATAATTTTAATTATATAAGTTAGTACATAATTGACACTTGAAACCATTGGTACCTGATGAAACTCCATAATTACAGAATTGAGGAAAAACAAGACAACTGTACGGTTCACAAATACGTCGTTTACTCATGACCACGGTTTTGCTAGTAAAGGCATTACCATCATGTGTGTGTAGGTATTATAAACACATACAGTACTATAATATCAAAAATGGCAGTGTTTTTAATCCTAGAACAAGGTAAAGTACAAATTACTCCAAAAAAATAATAAAAAAGTAAAATGAAACATACACACTAATAAACATTAAACAAGCATCACTGTGACATTGGAAAATTCCAGAAGTGCAATAGGAAAAACCAAGTGGAAGAAAAAATGTAAGTTTTGTTATATATTCAAATATTCTAAATTTAATAAGAGATGTACAAACAAATACATAACGGTATGAAAATCCACTGCACTTATGAAAATAAGTTAATAAAAAAAAAAACAGAAAAACTTAAAGTGACAGTGTATCAAATTATTAACTTTATGTATACTTATTGAACATAAAGATGTCAATTCAATTTTTAGCTCTCCAAAATTAAGTTTTAATTGTTACATTATCTCCTATCTTATTATATTAATATTTATCAACTGTTTGAGCTTACTGAGTATATAACAAAACTTACTTTGTAATTTTTCCATAAGTTTCTGTCTGGAGAGAGCTCCTTTCCCATCCCACTGGGCCATGCCCCGTAACTCTTCACCTGTACTGCACATCATGTAACTGAATAAAAACAAAAGGCTCCAAAGGTGAGAAATCCATGCATCAGCTCAATAACACAATTGTATGTAATTAAATAAGCACTGATGATTAACTGACTTCAACAAATATATCTAAAATATTAGAACTTTTCCTACGTTATCATGGGAACCTTTAGAAAACAAAAGAAATCTCACATTTCCTCTCTAAGAATTTAACTCACCTGCTGAGCTCATGAACTCGAGTAGTGTTGTGCTTTAGAGGAGTGAGTTCACCTCGTAAACACTGTAGTGCTTCTAGCACATGACCGTTTTCAAGATGCTCTAAATACTTTTGTTCAAGAAGAAGAAATTTCATCTCCTGAAGTGAAAAAAAAAAAAGTGACATGAATCTTCTGAATCAAAATCAAAACAGAAATTGATATATAACTGTCTATCATATTACAAGAATTTTATTTTTTTTAAATTAAATTTTTAGATAATAATGAGGTTAATTAAAACAATAACACCATAATATGTTTGTATCTGAAAAGGTAGGTGTATTATGTACTTTAAATTTCCTGAGTTAAAAGACACATAGTTGACACCACATAAACTAAAAAACAAGAAAACTTGAGCTTTGATAAAGTAATAAGTCACTGATTCCCCCAAAGATGTAATCGCCACATTTACAATAATACAAAGGGCATTCAACGAATAAAGTTAGGTACATGTTACTGTTCTTGAAGCCTACTTTAATTTCTTTCACATAAGTAGACATGTAATATATACAAAACAGGGAAATTGAAATTTGGTGATTTTTATGCTTGAGTAAATGCAAAATTAATAAAAGTATTTTCTAAACTCATTGTACCAAATAGCTATAACCATTAATAAATTTTTAATCTTTAAAATAACACACACATTCCAAGTTGGCCAACACATTATAAATAATACACACATGCATATACATACACACACACACATTAATGAAAAAGAAAAATTTTAATTTTCTTATACATATTCATCTTGATGTGAAACCAGCTAGAATATATATATTTAGTAACTTATAAAATGACGCTATTTAAAAAATAAAACTCACCACAAGAGCTTGAGGTACTTCTAGCAGAGACTTTAATTCATTGAGATCTAATTCAGCCTAAAATAAAATGATTTAATTTTAAAAGAAATGAAAGTAAGTTATACAACACAAAGTTTAATAAGTTATACATGAAAGTAAGCTCAATAAAAACAATTTTAGTTTGTATGTGTAAGTATGTATATTTAAAACTGTTAGATATACAAGACTGTTCAGTTTAAGAGTTATTATTTAGTTTATATAGTAATTTAATATTAAAAGAATATTTGTTTTCATAACAAGAGTGTTAAAATTAATTATTTTAAAAGCTATAGTTATGACAAGTTTCATTAAGTAACTCTGTATGAGTCATACATTGTGTATGCAGTTTAATTGTTGTACTAAACTTTTGCAATATTGTTGATGTCATCTTACTCGAAGCTTCTAAGTCTTTCTCGTTATGTTTAATATTGTTGTTACTAGAAGGCTGGATATTTCTGTCATGTTTTATAAATACGTGCAGATACAGAGTGCAAGTTAGTGAAAGGAAGGAAGGTAAAGTAAGTTAGTGAGAGTAAAAGTGAAAAAAAGTGAAGACAGACCGCGTGATTGTCAGTTTAGCTGTAACAAGTGATTTCTAAAGTGAAAGTTTCACAGTTTGTATTGTAACAACAGAGATAAAGAAGAAGAATTTGTCTTGTCAATTGGATTCTAAAGTAACTGAACCAGCCTGTATGGACTTTTGACAAAAAAGTGAATTAGTTAAAGCACTAGAGTCAACTGTGACTAGCTTGTTTTGAACATATATATTATTTTAAAATATGTGGAGTGTATGCTGTTCATTTATTGTTGAAATTTATTGCCAACAAGTCACAGACACCTACTGTAAAGAATCTGGCCCTACACAAAAACCTGACAAAAACAATATTATTAAATTTTTATTACATAATGATAAACAGTGTAAGTTATACAAATAAAAGTGTATAAGAGAAACATTTGAAATAATATTATGTTTTTTAACTACTTAATTAATAAAAAGTGTATGCAAAACTTAACAGAACACTACCCAGTGTACTAAGTTATGTGTAAAAGACCTAGTGGTTTGGATAACCAGGTGAGAATTACTACAGTCACTGAAATGCAAGATCATTTCTTTACAATAGCTTGCATAACTGATAATGTTCAGAAATCTGAAAGCAGACAAATATTGTTGTATTGCTAATTCTGGAGCCTATACATCATAGATTATGTATATATGAAGTATCAGATATTTTTCATAATTCTCAATGCAGGTACCAGTCAACAGATACCTTAGTACCTGCACTAACCTTGCTTAAATAACAGCTTTACAGTTTACAATCCAAGAACTTGGATCACATAATTTTTTATACTCAAGCATGTGTACTTAATGGCATTTAGAAAATCATGACCACCAGGTATAATACTTGAAATGTTTTTAAAAGATACATGTAACTGGTGGTTACGATCAAACTGTACATTAGAAATGTGTAAATGTGAATAATCAACATCTAACAAACATTTCTATAGTTGCAATAATACTAGCCTTTTTTAAAAGATTTTCTAATCAAAACCCCAGTTTTACGTAACATACACATCCTCTTAAGCAGAGGTGAAATTCTCAAAAAAAAAATAGAGGTACTCAGCTGGGTAAAGTGGACCTGTTTTTGAAAAAAAATAATTATGTGTAAACATAAATAATGACAAAGCAGCTCAAATAAGTCCTGGTACTAGTACAACTTTAAAAAATAAATTCCAGTACTCAGTACTAGTGAGTACTGACAGAATTTCCCCCCTGCTCTTAGGTTTATACAACTCATTCATCACATGGCAAGCAAGTTATTAAAGTTGAGTGCTGAGTGAAATCTGTGTGCAAAAAACATTAACTATTTAACATAAAAAACAGAAAATGGGATTCGAAAATATCTATAAATAGAGAACTTGATAGGTACATTTACATACTTGTTCTTTCTAACTCAAAACCTTTTAATTTTACAATTGTCACTTTTACAATTTTACAGTTTTCATAACAGTACTGATTCACTTAGCATAAACATAAGCTCAAGAAAGTTACAAAGGTATGTTAATAAGAATATATATATATATATATATATATATATACTATACTACTACTACTTTATTTTACTTTAATTAATAGAAGAAAGAAACAAAAT